TGTTAGTCAACGCCAACTAGTACACCTCTCTGTTTTTAAGACCCCGTGCAGTATTTCCGCGCTTGTCTAATCGGCTAATTGTCATTTACGTGTGTGTGAAGAAATAATAGCTATTTGTTTGGAATCAATTATCACCAACCAAAAGTATAGATTTAATCTCAACTATAGCTAAGGGTGCTAGACACCCTCCAAAAACAAAAATGGAATCAAAAAGGAACACAACTATTATATGAGACTATTCTGCTTAAAAGAATAGACCAAAAGTTAATACTGAATATTGAGTGTTGTAGCCAGAAACTAACTCAGATTCTCCCTCAGGACGATCGAAGGGCTGTCTAGCTGTTTCGGCCAAAGAAGAGACAAGTAAAATCAAAAAGACAGGGAATAGGGGCATAAAATATCATATTCCCCGTTGGGCATTAACAATTTCAATTAAATTAAGTAAGCCAGATGAAATAACTATGGTAAAATAGACACTTCGTATGAAGTCGTTTGAGCAGATGCTAAAAGTGCTCCGAGAAAAGGATATCTGCTATTACTAGCACACCCAGAACAGATAATTTCGTAACCACCCAGCGATGAGACAGCATATATATATAAGTCCCCCATATATAAATCAGTTAAAACCGAATCACTTCGAACAGGATAGCCCTAAAGATAAAATAGATGCCATCAAAAATATAGCAGTATTGGAGTGTTAAATCCGCTGGTTCCAAATAATTTCTGCTAGGTAATTTCATCATAGTTGTCGACTCCTAAGTACTAGTAGGGCCATAAAATTCTGTCGGCATCTCATCAGGTTTCGGAATTTATTGAGCTCGTACTAAGCATGTTAGTAGGGCCATACAATTCTGTCGGCATCTCATCAGGTTTCGGAATTTATCGAGCTCGATACTGAGCGTGTTTCAATATACGCTGCCTGCGAGTAACGTGTATACTATCGTATGGTGCCACTTGAGGTACAGGCTTCGTGCGGCCAATTATGCGCTTCACTAAGCCGATTTGCTTCATATCGTCAGCCCCAATCCACTCAGGACATTGTTTGGCCTTATCCAACGTAGAAATGGAGTGTTGAGCCTCAGAAACTAATCGGGCCAGCGTTACGTGGATTTTGATTTGACTCTATCATTACTGGTCGGATCCATAGAAAAGGCTGTTTACACCTCAACGCAGATTAAAAGTAGTTGACGATGTACTCCAAGCAGTCATTTCCACAGTCGCTCACACGTTTGTTTGCCCACCCCAAGTACCGACGTAGTAGTAGATCCTTCCGTATCGATAAGAATTGATTTATAACCAATTTGGCTTTTAGTTAGCTTAGTCTATAAAGAAGGGTAGTATAATAAATACAGTAGTTCGGATACTTAAACATGTTGTCAAAAGAGTGTTGTCTGGATAAGTGAAACCAGTCAGAAGTGCCGTTGTGAACGGCGGGCCTGCTCTATTTATTAATCACATTCCTACATGGGACGAGGTAGTCTCTATCAACGGGTGATGTGAAAATACCCGTATCTATGGTGTTGGTTTCATGTCCGATGAATCACTATTCTCTATTCCTCTCTATTCCTATTCCTAAAATCTGGACGATCCTCTGATCCGGTCCTGAAGTCCTCTCAAAGGTCCGGTCCCCTGAGTTTTAGGGATCTCTGTCCACACAAAAATGCATGAATGTAGCGTTATTCGTGTAGTCAATGATAGGAGTAATAAGAGGTTCGATTTGTATACTTGGGTTACTTTGTTGTGTGATATTCATTTCGATACCGGTTCTCTTTCAACTCTGAGGTTCACTTCTTAGCTTGTCAGTTGGGTCAGATTTATCGAATCCTGACATGTTGTATAAAACAGGATTGGTTCTATTTGCTCCAACGTTTTGAGTTTGGTTCAGGGTAGTTATTAATGCTTCTTCATATAAGTTAGGGCTGGAGTGCAGTTTATGTTGTCTACTTTGAGATATAGATTGGTATGTTACATTTTTGCTGGCGAATTCTGCTAGCATAATGGCTTTCTCATACGACACAACATCCGCTTCTGATAATACATTAATTTGGGATATCTTTCATTTTGGTTCCCAACTGTTCAATTGAAATGATATCAATATTTTTAAACAAAATGTATATTTGCTTCAATAAAGCTAGGTATCTATGGACAACAAAAGGTCTAACAACTGTCAGAAAGCTAGCGTATTGCTCACATCGAGTCGCAGAGTACATATACATGTGTGCGACTTCAACTTTGCTCACGATTTAGCCATGTAGCGTACGCACAAATTCTATACTTCGGCGAAATTATGTGGCGCATCCATACTAAAGGCTATTATATGGCCCATAAGTTTAAGGGACATATTGTCTGTATATGGCGTGCATTGCAATTGCAAATATACTCCTAAATATAGGTGCTGATTGTATGAGCATCAACTCATGAAGGTTGGCTTGGGTAGATTATGTATATGTTGTAACTTCTTAACCCCAAGATCAAAATCCTTTCGCAATGAAAATTCATACAGCTTTTCCTTTCAAAACCTTGCTCGCACTACAAGCACAGATCAAATTCATGATGTTCACGCATCAGATTAATATTCGTATAGTTGCTACTGATAAGATTTGCGTGTATCGCCATTTGCTTGTTAGGATTGTCACATATATAATCATATATATTAGTGTGTCTTGTGAATTTTGGGTCACATGGACCATATAGTTGAAGTATACCTATACGATGCACAGCTACTACGCTGTGCCTTCGTAGGGTGTATGCTATCTCAATAGTTCTTTACATATTCTTGACCATTTTCCTTGTATTTAGTTTGGATATCAGCTACTCTACAGAATCTTCAGTGTGATCAAAATTTACTTATAGTCAGTAGTAGGTTGACCGTCAATGTACACCTCATTATGACCTTTCTTTTTATTATTCCGATCCTGCTGAGTTTGTTGTGAACTGCGACGAGGATTAACTATACATAACTCAGCGGGTAATAATGGTTGAGTATTTATCTGGAGGCGTATTCTGGCATGCAGATATATCATGTTATATACATGTACAATTCTGAGGTTCAACATTTTCTTGGACACGCTGGGCCGTACCTGTTCACTTTCGTACATGTATGTTTTAATTTTGTTGTCGTTTTGAACATTTCATATCTGGTGACATCTTCGATCGTGCTAGATCATTTTTCTTTGTATTCTTGTTCCCTCTCAAAACGGGTTTCCATTCTGGTAATCGTTTACGATACACTGTATGATATTGCATATCTGTATTTTTTTTTGACTTTTTAACTCTTGTATACTCTGTCTGATCAGCAGCTTTTGATCCTCTTTGATGGTTTGATGTCTCTTTAGCCGACGTTTTCTTGCGCGTTCTCCGAGTTTTCATTTTTGTGCTGCGAATGGTTTGTATACGACATTGCTTTTCAGAATTCGATCGGGAACTTCTATGTACTTTGGCAGTGTAAATTGTTTATCTATTTGATCTGTAGCTTGCATCGCATTTGCAATCAGTATATGGTCAAATAGATCGAATAGAGCACTGCCTCGATTTCCGCTATTCGTTTTCTATCTCACTTCTATTTTTAGATTATAATATTAGGGGCTTATGTAGTATGGCGTTGTTCACAGGTTCGTGAATTCGTGCATCTGCTTGATATTTAGCAAGTGACCCGTGTAGTGACCGTGAACTTAATTATACAAGTTTCTGCCACATTCATAGATTGAGGCAGGTCCTATGTATGCATCATCAACCTTCGCAGTAATAGTATATTTGAAACAGACATACAGATGAATACATTAAGAATACGATGCTTAATACACTGTATGTTAGATTGGTCAATAACTTACTATGACAATGACATTTCACATGACCATCTTTATGCTGGTCTTTATGACCTACTGTATTTCAGAAATTCACATTTATTCATTTCCAGAACTTTATGGAATGATCAGTGCCATTGAAAATATTCCACTAACTTTAGAGCAGTCTATAACAACTTCAGGTACATCCCACCCTAGATTCGTATTTTGGATTCACATCCTGATCTCAATCTTTGTACCCAAACGGGATATGATCCACTTAAACGTGACTAATACATAGACGCGAAACGGATTCTTAGTCTTACCAAAATTTTATTGGATGTCAACTATTTTCAATATAGGCCATTCATTATGGTTGTTCATACCTAATGCGAATCCTAAAAGGGGTCTATATCTAAGCAAAACTTGAACCGTACGCTAAATCTGTGTTTGCCGTAGGCTTTGCAGAACTGTCAGGTCTGAGAGTGTCGGTGACACTCTCAGCGAACCAGGCAGAACAGCGCAGCCGTACAGAACACCAGGGCTGTTCAGCACCCCTGACGCCTGTCATTTTTATTCGAGAATTCCAACAAATTCTCGATGAATCCCATTCTATATTGACATCCCAAACAATACATTGTATTTATCTATGAACTATCACAGCCACAATCTCCAAACTTCTGATCAGTTGTAAGGTTGTGACAGTAATGAATAATATAGCCCGGCGTTATTCACCTGAGGGTGTGCAGTGCGTAGCTGTACGAATGATATTTAACCTCTTACTGGCAGGTGAGGAACACCTGGAACTCTTTCTCTAGAAGCCATACCACTACTGTCTTCCGACCTCTATCAAAGACATAAACCTGAGCTAGAAACCCACCCCGCCCACAAACTCAGTCAATGCTCGTGTAAAATATTGATGCGACATATTGTAGGATGATGAATCATTGTACTTACCACTTTCCGTACAGAAATGTTTGAACAAAAGGTACACATCAACATAACTATGTATTTATACACATACCAAGTATATGTATCTCTTAAACAAACAAATATACAAACTATATGAATATATACACGTATATGTGAAGGTAGTTGTGCGCAAATAGTCCTAAATAGCTGCTGGTATGGGTTGAACTGTTATCAGAGAGATCGAGATGAGGAAAGTATACAAACTCAGACAAGTGTAACAAAACAATAATGAATAAAGCGCACCCCGTTAGTCTTTACGAAAGTTTATTGAAAGGGATACGTAGCCTACTGAACGCACAAGAAATCCACAACACCCGCTATACTTTCTATACATGTGTATCAGAGATACTACCCATGTCGAATATATTGACATAATCGTCAAAATAGAAAACTCATGCCCAGTTTTAACCGGCGGCGCGTGTATAATATGGCATGCAACCTATATAGATCAGAATGAACCGGACGTTCCGGGTACGTTTCCCAGGAGATGTATGTACACTCAACGTGCGCGCATAACGTTTTGAAAACAAAAACTACAAGATTTTTCTTCTTCGGTTAGAGACTTTCGATTCCCACCCCTAAATTTACTCGTGGCTGTTCTTGAGCACGTCACAGATTGTGCCCAACGCCTCGGTCATCTGCGCGTCAGTCAGCACCAAGGGAGGTGCGAATCGGATAATGTGGTCGTGTGTGGGCTTGGCTAGGATACCGGCATCCTTCAGGCGCATGCACATATCCCAAGCAGACACCTTGTGGGCAGGATCCACAACAACCGCATTCAACAGGCCCTTTCCTCTGACCAGCTGCACGAACGGCAGGTTTAAGTCGCGGATGGTAGTACGGAATGTTTCGCCGAGCTTCTCCGCGCGTCCGCACAAATCCTCGTCCTTGAGAATTTGGAGCGCCTCCATGGCAACGCGACACGCCAAGGGATTACCACCGTAGGTGCTACCGTGTTCTCCAGGGTGGATGCAGTCCATAACCTCGTTATCCGTGAGCACAGCAGATACGGGCAGCATACCTCCGGAGAGAGCCTTTCCTAGTACCACAACATCGGGGCGTACGTTACTGTGTTCAATGCAAAGCATCTTTCCGGTACGGCCAAGACCTGTCTGGATCTCGTCGGCAATGAATAGTACGTTGTGCTTCTTGCACAGATCGAAGGCGCGCTGGTGGTAGTCGGCGTCAGGTACAACTACACCGGCCTCGCCTGTGTATCCATATGGTGTTTTCATGTTAGTTTTCATATAGACGATAATTCGGAATGAGAATGTGCGTGAGTACCGTTAACCAGCACGTTTACGTTAACGTGATTTTCATTGGTTCATAGATAGAAATGAAACCAGGTGATGCTTTCATTTGCGGTTATGGCAACACACCAGATATGCGGAGCGAAAGGCTTGTATTGAATGTTCACCTTTACAACCTGTATCGTATTCCGTTTGTCTGATAGTTCACTACTATAGCAACTTCGATTCAAATTATATTTACGTGCACTATAGCCCACACGTACAGACATTCTGATATTTAAGGCTAACAATACTTACCCTGGATCGGCTCGATATAGAAGGCGGCGGTGTTGGGATCGGCGATTTCCTTCTCCAGAGCATCGATATCATTGTAGTTGACCTGCACGAATCCTGTGTACGAGAGACGACAAGGAAAATCAGCACTACTGTATAACACTATGCATCATGTATGGAGCCTGCCTCAATTTTGTCGACGAACGCAGCACATAGATAGTGTCAGTGAAGCTTGTATCTTGTATGTAAAGTGTCAGTGAAGCTTGTATCTTGCATATAAAGTCGCAGGTGAAGGTGTGTACTACATACCTGGAGTGAAAGGACCAAAGTTTGTGTAGCAGGTGGGGTCAGAAGATGACGAACACGCAGCGATGGAACGGCCCCAGAAGTTGTCCTTGGCGAAGATGATCTTGGCCTGGTTTGCGGGCACCTTCTTGACTTCGTAAGCCCATTTACGCGCTAGCTTGACAGCGGTCTCTCCTGTCAAGCGGTAGAATGTACGGCATCAGGTAAGATTGCTGATGAAACAAATTGTCGGTGGTTTTTATTTACACAGATTTGTATGCATACCCCATTACACAACCATAGAGGTACTGGTAAAAAAAGCAGCAAAGGGTGGCCTACTACAAACTCAAGCTTACGAATGAGATACGAATCCGTTGTCGAACTTCATGTCGTCGAGGACGATCCCGTTGACAACTACCACCCTCAATAATAGCGATTGTTACGAGATACCTGCGCTTTATATGTATGCCGGTCTACGCATCTACATATTTATGCACTCAGAGAAAATATACTGCACGTCGATGATAGACACACAGTTATTGAACCGAATCTGGGATTAATGTGCAGAGCACGGTATAGACACTGAAGGCCCCCTCGATATAGCGACAGTACGGACACAACCATATCATCAGTTGTACAAGCACAGGAGTTTTAGTACCAGGTGGGATGCAAACAGAATTCGTATGTAGTATGCATGTATCAACTGTGGAAGCTCTCTTGGTTATATATTAGCGCAAGCATAGCTGGACAGCGCATATCATCTCAGGGACACTCATAATATTGTCAAACAGATCCACAGCAAGAATCGTATGAACGTATGCATGGTAGTAACGCACATACCAGCCTCGACACCGGAGTTCATGGGTAGCACCTTATCGTACTTGAAGAAGTCGGTGATGTAGGACGTATATGCAGCCATGACATCATTGTGGAATGCTCGCGACGTCAGAGTAAGCTTAGACGCCTGCTCGGTGATGGCCTTGACCAGACGGGGGTGGCAGTGACCCTGTATGTACATCCGAAGCATAATCGTTAGTTAGCTAGTTATTATGCAAAGGGACTTCTATAACAGATGCAGAGGTGACTAACAGTAGTCTAAGCACGTACCGCTAAAGCTTCGAAATAAGAAGTTTTGGATGTACTCACAGTTTGCATAGAACGGCGCTACTAGACGGCCCTCGTTCAGTCCCATTTTTTAAATCGTCCATACGCGTTTCAAAAAGGATTACTCTTGTACGACCGAAGAAAACCCTCGGACTATAGAAACGGTATTGATCTCTACCCACTTTCAACTGTACTTGTACCCGCAACGTGCAATTTGGACACTAGCACAACTTGGGACTATATATTGTTGTTTAGGTCAAGCAAAACGTGGAGCGTCCTGCTACAAAAGCCTTTCCTTATCTCCTATCTTAGGATTTCTCTCATTTTTCACACTTGACCTTTGAATATTTGCGATCTAGCGAGCTGCTACAGCCGTACACAGACACCTTCACAGTACACAAACCTCTAGACCACAAACACAAAGATATGTGTATCCCTCCACACCTGGTTGACAGCCGAGTAGGCGGAGAGGAAATCAAAGTAACGCTTTCCCTCTACATCCCACATGAAGGGACCCTCTCCACGCTCTAGCACGGCAGGGATGGGGTGGTAGTTGTGTGCACCGTGTTTGTTCTCCTGGGCGATGAACTCGTCAGTGGATTTCAGACCGAGTTTGTTCTTAATAGCTACACACATGTCCTCGTTGGAGGCCGCACTGTATGTACGGCTGGAGATCGTGTTCATACACAATGGCGCGGTGAAGTGTGAGTTAGTTAATTGGTACTGTAAATACATAAGTGCATTGGCACAAGCCAGTTGGCAGTATTTTTACTATAGGGCAGATGACCACGATATACAAAAGCTTACGAAATATTGGAAGGCTAAATTTTGAGACCGGCTGAAGTCCGAACTCATATGTGGTTGCGGTGGTAGGGGGTGATCGGTATATAAATACGTATATACAGTTACTGTCTTGAAACAATTTAGACGTATGTAGGCCATCAGCCAAACCAGACACTACACAATTCTAAGCGGAGTTACTGCTGTAGGCAAGTATGCTCGCGTAGCTGCGGAGTTCTAATATATCAGGTACGTCATAAAGTCGGTCTCATTGATACTTAAGTCATACACAGGTATTTAAGAAAAACTGTAAATGTGAATGAGACCGAGGGGGGGGGGAAGGGTTGACATGATTTGCTGTAGCATCTCAAAGAAACAACAAGTGTTGCACATGATGAATGCGACCAGAGCCATAAGCATGTTGATTTGCATCGATCTTTACTCAGTATTCAGGTATATGTATACATGCAGCAGTTTTACAATTCCACAGTTTGAAGCGGGAAATGACACTGTTGAGTCGACACGCAGCCGCGATACTGAAGTACACTTTGGCAAGCATTCCGCCACAGCTCGATTTATCAGCGATAGATCCACGCAAAGCTACAGTACAGACATACCACGTAGCCGAGGCACGGAGGCCAGTGGCTCTGCTTGAAAGGGTGGCAACTCGGGATAGCATGATGTCTCAAAGTAAAAGGAAGAGTGACACAGGTTGAGAATAAATATGTTTAGATATTCAAATAATCAAATATAAGGATAATCGACACCACTGATCACGAATCCTTGCAAAAAACATAAAATGATACAAAAAACAACAACACATATGTGTGTGAATAAAACTGTAAATAGTAAATACAATATGTCAATATGTAGGCACTTTTGCGAAGTGTCCGACAGTCCGGCAGACCGACACTGACACTGAACTCTTTTGACACCTCAAACACCAGTGCCCACGTTTTGTGCATTTTTAGTATACGTACTTTACGAAATCAAACTGTTGTGTTTATGCAAACCTTTGGGTGAAAATTGCTTGGATCAGTTGCGTATAAAGTACTTATTTATGCTTTACGTTACGTTTTAAAAGTACGTATTTATCTAAAATATAGAGCAACAACAATACGCGGGACGCCCCATAGGCCATAGTCCCATACTGTAATACATCCACCCGAATTTCTTCACGATAGAAGGCTATGCGCATCTATTGGTCTATAACGACGTTTGTTCGTATCCAATTTTGATTGGAGTCTGATACCTCCATATTTCTGGGGACAATGTATGCTCAATTGCTCATGTGGTAAAGAACACGAAAAAAAAACACCCCAGAGCTTCGACCCCAGTCCCTTGTCCCTACTACTACTAGAGTGGCCTATATTTAATTAGGACGAAGCTCTTCTACTGGCCACGCCAACTTGTGATATAGAATAAAACTTCGAATAAGCGACATGTTGTTTACCTGTTGTGCCGGATTTATTACAGAAAATATAGATCTAGGCTTTTGAGGATGGTTAGGTTTACAATATTTTGTGTTCTGGATGAAACAACCCCTCTTTTTCGCTTCTTTGAGAGAATTCTTGTTTTGACGCTTCATGGTGCAACTATTTTAGGAGGCTATGACAATGGTTACAGGTATTTCTTCAGCTAGAGTGAGTGCAAACAGCTGTCGCCAATACGTACCTCATTAATTCATCTTCATGTCCTGTTTTATTGCCTTTTCCCATTGTATAATCCGGCATGCTCATCCAGTAGTCACGCTTGTACCTGCCGGCGGATCATCGAGATCAGTCATGACAACTACAATGTCATGGGTAACCTCTGCATTCTTCTATCGGTGTACAGGAACGCGCTTGAAGCAAGTGGTGTTACTAAAATCAGAGGCCACTCACCTTAATGCGCAAATGTAAATACAAGTAGCAAGAGTTTGATAAACAAATCTCGAATTGAAGTCCACACACTCGTCGCGAGAGTGTTTAAATTTTTGACAGGAAGTGATTATTATATCGGGTTGCAAATCTGGAGATGTCACTCTCACCACCAATTCACTTTGCTGGGAAAAGAAAGCCTCATTCCTGTCATGCTTGCACGATCTGCTCTTCTAGTAAAGAGTACAGGAGAGTTCATTTCCTAGAAATGCACCATACACTACGCAGAACATGCTCATGAACAATCATACATGAGATCAGAGCCTGCTTCATTATAATTTGCCACTTCTCTGCAATATTTCAGATAGTGCATATCCCTGGAGATGGATAGTCATCGTCGCATATCACTACTATCACCAGAGCCTGTAGTTGTAGAAATGCCGCTCACCTACTAGAGGGACTTTCGATATAAAATCAAACATCTCTCATTTGCTTGAGTACTCTCGTTCTGACAAGTTACCAACCACATCTATCAACAGACAAAATGATCAGCCTACTATCTTCCTGTGCTATATTCGCATTGGCTATAACGGCAACGGCCCAGTTTACGGTGTGTCTTTCTGAAGACGCAGATTGCGACGTGGTCGCTAAGTGCCAGAACACTATGCCCGACGACGAAGCCTGTCGAACTTCTATAATTGATGGTCAGTCGCTCTCGATCTAAGAATCCTAGTATTGCTACTGTAATCTTCCTATACCACATTCAACATACACTTGCCATTGCCCATGACTAGGCGCAGTTGGAGCTGTCTCATACTGTTCTATCGTGCCTAGTACCCGAAGGCATACTCAGATTATACACCTTATTCCCAATGCAGGCACATATTTCATGCTCTTCCAGGACCCCGTTGACAAGTCTGTAGACATGGAACTGTTTCATGATGAATATTGCGTGACACCGATTCTGAATGTAAGTGTGTGAGCTGTTGACTACTCTTGAATGCGAATAGGTTGAGTGGGATGCGGAGAGCCCTTACCGCCTGCATTTACGATTCACTTATGTATCTCATATTCAAACTCTACATACCAGGTTGTCCCCACTGCGACATGCATTGGTTTCTCAGTTCCAGACACTCTTCAAATCTTCGTCAAGGTATCCGCCAACAACCAGACCGTACCCGTCACCACCACTGTTGCTGCAAGTTCTACCGCTATACCCACCAACACAAATACCAGTACAGTACAGCCCACGGCGTCTGTGAACGGGACGGCCCCTGCGTCTACTACTTCTGAGGCCAACCTCCCAGAGAGACCCACGGGCTCGAGTGCTGCGAGCGCTCAGGCGGACGGGAACGGTGTGGGCCAGAACACGGTGCATTCGGAAATGATTGCGATAGTGGCGATCATGGCTGCTGCCGCAGCTCAAATGTAATGTCAGCTGTTGTCGTAGTCGAAGGAGAAACTAAACTGTCGGCGGAATTGTTTCTAGTCGGGAGGCTCAAGGATTCTCTCGGCGAATAGCGGGTTAGAGATAGTATAGCAATAAATGCAGCCTAAAACAACCTCTTAGTAGATACGGTCTGTGTGAAGGAAAGTAGCAACCCAAGTAGCGAGATGATATAGCAATAAATACTACCTAGAGCAACGTCTTATTAGCTACGGTCAGTTTGAAGAAAAATGCCAACTCATAGCAATTTTATTAACAGAGATAATATAACAATAAATGCAACCTAAAGCAACGTCTTATTAGCTAGGGCCAGAGTGAAGCAAAATACCAACTCATGGCAATCCTAGTAGCAGAGATAGTATAACAATAAATGCAACCTAAAGCAACGTCTTGTTAGCTAGGGTCGAAGGTCTGTGATTACCTCACATGCCCCTGCCGTTTGGTCTTTGCGTATATCCATCAGCACTTTTCATATGAAGATGTTAAGCTTTATTAGGCCTTTAACGTACATGTGCGAGATAGACCATCTCTCTGACTAAATTTGGCAAGTGTGTCGATCGGCATATACAATAACCGCCCCCCCACTCCTTCACTCACTGTCGCTAGCAGGGGAGAACGAATCATCCTCTGAGCTCAAGTCCATATCGAAGTCCACCTATGGAGTGAGCGCAGATGCAAATAACAGATCTGAGAGGGCCCTAAAGTACAACAGAGACACAGGCTACCAATTCAATATCTGTGAAATAGCCCACTCGTCAACTAACAGATCGTGTATGCTTATGTAGTACCGCACAGATCTGAAGGCAAACTTACACGGGACAATCGGAATGAACTCAAACGACAGCCACGCACTGAGAATATGGAAGCTTTTGCATACACACACCATACCTCCTCCATTTGAGCCTTCATTTCCGTTAACCCGGTGACGTCTTCCAGGTATGTGGGGCTGTTAAAAGCATCCAATAGGAACTGAAAGCCTCGCTCCTTGTACATCTCAACCACCTGGACCGTTCGGGTACGAAATGTTTAGACACGTGGCTGATGAATCAATTGATAAACAAAGATACAAACAAATAAACAATTATCAACCCCTCATATCTGCATATATGGTCAACGGTACTGACCACCTTGGCCTCGCAGAGTGATCCGTAGTATATAGTTATGACGTGCATTGGGGGATTACTGGTAGCGTTATTGGATACAGTCTGCGGGTCTAATGGTAGTGCTATACCAAGACACATAAAATATCTACACAGACTCTGCTTACACGGGTGTTGTTGGATATAGTTGCTTCTCATTCAAAGTCCATATCATTTATGACCGAAAGGTTGTACTTGGCGGCATCTAAACACAAACCTATCGGTCCAGAATATCAGGTTACAAGACCCAGAAAGTACAGCTAAGCCAAGCAGACAAAACAAAAGCAAACCAACACATACGAGCTCAAGCTATACTAGGTGATTGCTTATACACACAGACCACATACCTTCCTTGAGCACCCGGTACACCGGTCATAGGCTCGCCCTACAGGCATCACCATATTGTAGTGCGATAAGAACCCCCTCGTCTGGTGTGGGATAAAGCCTGTATGGCGTATGGGGAGAAACGTGAGCAGTCGGTGAACTAAACCACGGATTATAAACCGAGTTGAGAGTACATATTTCATCTTATAAATGAGTACACCAACAAGCATACGCATAGACACGTGTGTGTTCGTATATGCAGTATGCAGCAGAGTTAAAACAAAATAAAGTACACATATGCATACAGTAGAAATATCAAAATACTGACAAAATAAAGTACACATTTGCATACAGCATAAATATCAAAATACTATCAACATAACGTACACATATGCAAACAGTATAAATATCAAAATACTGACAAAATAAAGTACACATCTGCATACAGTATAAATATCAAATACTAAAAAACAAAGTACCCATATGCATACAGTATACAAATATCAAAATATCGGAGAACTTTGCTGGATATAGCACAATAGAAACGATTTAAAACCAGGTATTGGTCTTGTCTGTGATCATCCCCAGCGAATCCGATCCAAGTAAACGACATATACAACAAGGACGTACAGCCGCACACTGTACTGATAGGGTGCAGTTATCTGCTGCAGATACAAAACGTATTTTCACGCGCACATACACTGAACTCAAACATAGAACCCAATTGGAGTTGACGTATGGATAACGTTAGTTCCGAGTCACTAACACTCACCTAGTATCGAGTCTTCGGGTATAGAGGTGTTCGGGCCAATGACATCGCCCGGAACCTGCTCTCTGTCGTCATGGAAACAAGGGCATATCGTAAATGATCGCAAAGACGATCTCACATTCTACCACCGTGTTTATGCATGCTTTGTACATGGGAGAAGGCTCTAGCATACACACACATGTGTATGTGTATGACATGTGTATGTTTAGAACATGTGTATGTGTATGTGGATGTGTATGTGTATGACACAAACACACACACACACACACATATATATATACATTTATATATATATATATATTTGTGTATGTGTATGACATGTGTATGTTTATAACATGTGGATGTGGATGTGGATGTGTATGTGGATGTGTATGACACAAACACACACACACACACACACATATATATATATATATATATATATATATATATATATATATATATATATATATATATATATATATATATATATATATATATATATA